AGTTTTAAAAAATGAAGATATGAATTTTGATTCTGCCAGCTATCAATAATTTTAGGAATTAGTACAGTCTCTGTAGGAACATAAGGACGAGGTATTTCCCAGAGAGAACGGTTTTTAATATACCAAGCTTATGGAAATACCAAAATCTATCAAATATCGAATATAGCTGGAACCTTTATTCAGAAAGTTTTGCATTTAGTTTGATGTGCTGAGACAGTCAAAATCGAAAGGTTTTCGTATCAATGAACCCATAAAATATTGAAAGTCATGGACTATTTGAAGGTTTTTTTCTTATGTAGCGTCTCAATCGATTTTTGAGGCAATCTCAATGTTTCGTAGGGTAATTCACAAAGCGCAAGATATAACAATGGGTTCAGGGCAAAAAAAAGATTCTTTCCGCTTTCAATCTTTAAAGTCATTTAACTGCCACCTAAAAACGAACAATTTTAGGTTAGGCATCGCTGATTTTTTTCTGCAGTGCTCTTTTGGAAGTAGCCAAAACTTAGAGTCATGTTCCAACTTTATGTAACTTTCTGCCGTGTTCTGCGCATCTTCCTCTTGTTTTTCTTAGGTGACTGCGTACAAATAGCTGTTAAGCTTGCCAACGTCACATTTAAAAAATAACAAAGTGCCAGTTTATATGAGCATTTCCTGAAGAAACTGTTTCTGCTTGGAAGTAGGTAAATTTTCTGCATCGATATGAGATTACTCAAAAAATACTATCGATCGGGTGCAAACACAAACATTAGCATAAGTAGGTTAAACACCTTGTAGGTTAGAAATTATAATGTATGCTTATTTATCTTCATTAAGCGCGGAATACTATTACTTTTCCATTCAAACTTAACTGATCACAAGACCAGAAAGGTGAACATGCTATCTGAAGAAGTACATCCAGTTAATCCAAATAATGTTATTCCCCTTCGCATGAAATTTTTTCTATAGACATACTTATCCTTATTGCCTGAAGCGCGTATTCAAATATCATCAGAAGTATGCTCATAATTTTTATGCCGTATTAACGACTACCGTATACTGCGGATCTTTTTTGGAATGCACTTTTCAATAACAATCCCTTCTTTCAATCTTCTCACATGATGATATGCATAGACATTAAGCACATAAAGTTTTTGAGGGAGATAACTTCTTAAACCAACTTCTTGAGTTTTTCCAGCGCAACAGTGTTATAGGTAAATCTTGTGAGACGTTACTGTACAATCCATAAAGCCATATCTATTCTTAAAGGCTTTTGCGTGTAGGAACGCGATTACTAGTACAATTGGCAAGTGCGGGAAATTATACCATAAGGGGCGGCGAAGAAAAAGCGGGGTAAGTGAGTGTGGCTGGGTTGATTTAAAAATGCGTTCATATCTCCCAAGGATTTGACATTATCTTCAACATATCACTAACGAAAGGGCGTAAAAGCTAATTACAAAGTCTTTCAATCTTAGCATTTGTCTTATTTAACAATAAAAATGTGTATCAACAGCTTTAGGGTTAGGAATATTTGCAGAGAAATAAAATAAATTCATTAGTACATACTTTGATAGCCTTTAGGATAATGTGTCAAACACATAATGTGAAGCCGCGCAACTGGCACAACTGTTTATTCGTAAAGCTCTTCTTTATCTGACATGACCCCAATGCTGCAGATTAGAACCCCAGAGAGTTTAACACGGCGCCAACTCGTTGGTAGCAGCATCGAATTCTGTTTTCATTTTGATTGGATCTAACGACATAAAGCAAAAATTTGAGAGTTTGCGAGTACAGTTTCGGGTTCGTATGACAAAATCGTGACGCCATTTCGAACGAAAAACAGAAGTATAAAAAAGGTTATAAGGCCGAAGATGATTATTAAGATATCATATAAATCAATAACCAGAAATAGAGAACAATTTTCACACAACCAGGTTCGGAGCTAAGTACTAGACTAATGGTAAATGAATAAATTAGTGCCATCGAATAAAGAGCCCTTTCATCAGTAGTCTTAAGGATGTTACAAAATCGCAGAGATTAAAACTAACAAGAACAGATTCATAAAATGGATTTTCTATGTAAGGTAATGAGTATAAACTGTGTATGAGTAACGGAAAACTGTCCAATTGTAAATCTTCGCACATAACAGCCTATGTCAGACACTACGAATACTAACCTTTATTACTTG